GCTCCGGCCTCCTGCGGCTCCCCCGGGGCGCCCCTTCTCTCCCTCCCTCCCCGCTCCGTGCGCGGGGGAGCCGCGCGGGTAACAAAAATAATAAAATAAGAAAGTTTTCCTAAACGGCAATAACAGGCACACAAAGGAGCTCTTGTCCGCCCGCCCTCCCGGCAGCGCTGCGGGGGGACCGGCGCCCCCCGCTCCGCCGGGACCCTGTCCCCGCTCTCCCTGCCCGCTCTTGCCAAGGGGGCGGTGTCCGGGCGCCGGCCAACGGTCACCCGCGGCCAACGGTCACCCGCGGCCAACGGTCACCCGCGGCGCGGAGAGGGCAGTGGCCGCTTTGGCCCCGGGAGCGCGGAGAAAGTGACGAGGGGGCGGCGGGACCGCGTCCCTGCCCCTGCCCCGCGCGGGGCTCGCCCGGCGGCCGCGTCCCTGCCCCTGGCCCGCGCGCTCCGGGGCAGCGGCCTCGGCTCCGCCGCTGCGTGTGAAGTTTGTGCAGGGCGCCTCTGCAGCCGCCCCGCGCGCAGACTCCTTCTGCTCCTAGCACCGCAAAAATGCGGGCTCTGGTCGTGCTTTAATTCTGGAGGAAAAAAGGAAATCGAACTCCTGCGCGTGCGAGGTGAGTGCGCGCAGGCTGCAGGTGCAGCGAGGAGCCACCCCTCAGCCGCTCGCTGTCACGGGGCTGCGTGCGGTGCCTCGTCGCCTCACATGCGTCCTGCTAACTTGTGTTCAGCATCGTCCTGCGCTAACACGCGTCTCAAACACAACGCGGAGAGCGCACACTAGCTACTCTTGCAAAAGTAATTCCAGTGGCTGCATTCGCGTTGCGTTCATTTAGCCCAAGTGCCATTCAGCGACGCTTTCTCGTCTTTGCTTGGCGGGTAAATCTTTTGGCATCGACGTGAGAAACTCCAGTAGAGTCAGGCTCCTTTAATCACATTACTCTCGCGGAGATTTTGAGGAGTGCGTGGCATCTCTCTGTGAGTAAGATTTATGGAACTGTTACCACGTTCGGGGCTTCCTTTGCTGTTTGTTTCTTGCTGTAGAAAAGCAAGAAGATCCTGCTCTGGTTAACTTCTTTTTTTATATATATATAATTATTATTTTCTCGAGGCTAATCTATTGTGAGGAAAATTGGGTCTGTTCCAGCATACCTTTTTCTTCAGAGTGGTCTCATATGTTTGAATGGAAGTACTAGTTTTAGTAAGATCGAGCAGGTTTGACACCCTCAAAGAAAGTACAGTTGCCAAGGCATTTCATTGTCTATGCTACGTTGTTTTTTTCGTGAAGGTAACTCATTCTTTTACCGTGTAACTCATAAAATAGAATACTAAGAGAAAACATCCTAACTCTGTCCACACTCAGACAATTTGCTATGCATTAAAATGTTGATCTGAGTTTTCCGCTGCTCCCTGCCGAAGTAAATCGCCTTCAGACTTCATGGAAGTTTAGCTCAGATTCAGACTGCCCGGCTGAGGTTTCTGTCCGAATGCGAAATGGATTTAACAGTACCAACTAATAGCATTAAGTATACTTGCAACATTTGCTTTTCAAGTAGTAGGAATCGAACGCCTGAAGCACGGGTGAATATTTTGAGGGAAAATGAATTATATGGTCACAGATGTTCTGTATATTCTCAATTAGTCTGCATTAAAGCCGTATGTATTTACTTCTAATGGCAAAATCAATCTTACCAGCTAAACAGTACTACTTGAAGCACAAAATAATTGGGCAGTAATCTATGAGAAACATATGTAGTTAACACCTCTAGGTGCTTGAAGATGAAAGTAGAGATTAGCAACAGACCCCTCTTAATACTGGTACACTGAGGAGTGAGTGCAGTGACTGCAGTTTGAGGCTGGAGAAAGAGGTAGGTCGGGCTAAGGATAAATAAAGAGTTTCCTGCATTGAACTGGGGGGGGGGGGAGAAGGAGGCGAAAGGGAGAAAGATCAAATTAATGACCTGTGATAAATCCAGAATAGAACTGTTTGCATTAAAAAGGAAGTAGGTGATTGTGAACTTGTTTGTGCATGTTTTGTGAAGGGAAGGGGAAATTTGTCATCTTGTTTTGAAGAGCCATACATAAATACACATGAAAGGAGTTCACATGGTTTACAGCAGGGAAGACATAAAATGTTTTAGGATTAAATTGACCTGAGCTAATACATGCCTTGCATCTGACTTGTTTGCAGGGACGCATTGTTACCCTATGCAAACAAATGTTTTCTGTATAGTACCTGATTCCCATCCACTAAAACAGAGTTCTGGAAAAAAAGCAGCAGAGTAACCCAGTGCATGCAAGAAGGAAGTTGAACCCTGCAAGAAGTTCTCACTGTCCTCATTCTATACAGATCCTGCAATATATTTAACTACTACTATTCCTCCAATAAGTAGTTGCATTCTTAATACTTACTTGGCTAGTCATACACAAAGATAAGTCTTGACTAAGTTAGCCTTGTACCCTCCTACTTCACTAATTTTATGAGGGTAAAGACTCTTTTTTTTTTTTTTTCAAAGAGGGAAGGTGTTTTTTCTTTTTAATATTTAGGCCTTAGTCTGAAAATATTGCTCTCTGGGAAGAATCAGTACTTACAGAGGACTTGAAACTATGGTACTGGTACTTTCTTTTCTTCTTCTCTCTCTCTTTTTTTTTTTTTTTTTCCCCCCCTATGGATCAGACCTTTAGTGTTAATTCAGACCCAGATGTGTGTTCTGGAGTAAGTGGTATCTGACTCAGACCAACAACAAATTGTGGAAAGCTTCCTGTCTCAGTTTTGCATGGCAGAGTAATAGAAACATGGAAGGAAAAAGCAATGCTTTCTGCTGATTATCCTTTTGGTGTTAATCATCGTTAATTCTGTTTACCAGCACTGCTCTGAGGTGGGTGAGGGATATGCGGAGATAGTCTTGGCAATAAAATATGGCTGGTGTTAGTATGGAGTCCGATTGCTGATCAACAACATACAACAAAAATGAGCAGTGATTAGAGACAATATCAAGCATCTGGGGGAAACTCTCGAGTGTGAGCCTCAAAGCTCTCTACATTTTGAATCTTTTGGACAGCTTGTATGGGTGCAGTGTCTGGGGAAGCAGAAGTGAACTTTCCAGTTCAAGTACAACCTTGGAAGATCAGAATCTGCATGTCTTTTTTTTTTTTTTTTTTTTTTTTTCTTTTCTTTTTTTTCCCCCCCTTGTATGCTTCATTCTGATGTAACTGAGCCATGATTCATGATGGAAGTAGTCGAATATTAGCATTTTGAGTGTGTTACGGGATCTGTAATTGTCCACCGTGGACAAGACCTGACCTTGGTGTCGGTTTTGCTGCAGCACGGCAAGTTATGGCAGCGCGGCACCAAGGCGTTGCTGAAGGATTTAAAGGGAAGAGTGCCACCTACTGAGCCGCACTGACACATATTGCACGTCTTCTGGAGCTCCCGAGCCGCTCGCGTGCCTGCCCCGTTTTAGCAACTGCAAGATGTGAAAGCATTTATAATTTAAAGTGAGAATTGAACAGGAGCTGGACAAAGGAGGAAAAAAAAAAGTTAATAGAAAAAAGGTATGCACTCAACACATTGGAGTAATCAGAAAACTTTGGAAGTCGTTCGTCTAAAGGATATTTGTAGACACATTTGCCGTTTTGGTGCTTCAGACCCCTAAAAGCTGCTAATGGGTTAATTTATGGGAAATTAACAGGAAATAGGGAAGAGATATCCTTGCCTTTCCCCATCAAATAATCATATGCTCAGCTTTTGTGCCCCAGGTGAGCATAAATGACCTCTAAAATCTAAAGTTTATCTCCAACTGTAGTTCTTTAGAAAATGGAAGATACCACTTTTAAAACAGGAAGATGAAAATGAAAAGATCCCTACATGCATTATCCCATAATTTGCTGTAAAACTTCTTGATAGTTGAGTCTTCCACAGTATGGAATTGCAGTTATTTATCAGCCAAAAAGAAGGGAATACTGTACTGTGTGAATACAGAGACATTTTTGTATGAAAGGAATGTTTCCCCAATTCCCAAAGTGTTTCTGTAGTGGCTGAAATAGAGATGTAAAGTGAAGTAGATAAACCAGCTATTAACAGAGCTGCCAGTTGCTGCGTCTCCAGAGTGATGGCATACAGTAACTTGCTGCATTCACTGATGAACTTTCCTTTAAAACTATTTTTAATAGTAGCCATTTCTGTATAGAATATTTACAACAGATACCTGAAATTCATGTGTCTTCGACTACTTCACGCCCCCATGCTTCTCCTCTCCGCTCTGCTCCTCCCTGCTCCTCTCTCCACTCCTCTTTTCTCCCCCCTCTCTCTCCCCCTCTCTCTCCCCCCTCTCTCCCCTCTCTCTCTCCCCTCTCTCTCTCCCCTCTCTCTCTCCCCTC